AAATATCAAATTAGATACCCTTACCCTTAGATTGTTAGCGGCTATCATTGAGGTGGATATTTTTTTGCATGTGGTGGTTCCTTTTTCGAATTTATGACGTGATAGTAAAGAGATTTTTATCCAGAAATTTTTCGCATTCATCAAGCTTACGTTCGAAGCATAACATAATTTGTTTGCTAACAAAATTTAAAACTTCAACAATCAATTCCTAGGGCCTACGATTTTTGATTTTCATGCACCATAATGGCCATGCTAATCCTCAGAGATAATCTCATTACGTTCGTTGTGCATAGTAAGAGGCAGAGGTAGATACTAAGTACTTTCTATCCAACTCATACCATAAGCGCAGACCAGTGACACCCTGACCAACATTTCCACCATACCAACGTGACAATGCCACTGGCATGACAAACATCTCGCGCTGTGTGGATTAACAACTCTTTTATAAGCTATGATAATTACCTCGGCTTCTTAATTACATAATTGGTCCCTGTAATTCATCCACTGCAGCGTACCTTGACCGTGGCTGTATTTCTCATGCTCGACAGAGCTACCGTTCCAATAGGTACATAGGCCTAAGACACGGTGATGGCTTGTATACTTATGTGTGAAATTTCCTCCGGTTGGAGCTCATCCGTCTTGCTAGTCATTCTTTTTGGTCTAACGGTTAACACGACGTTGGCTGCTGGGCAGTTCATCCCGGCACGCAATTTGGCCTAATATCTAGGTGATGTATGATTAGTTTTCCCAGTAGATCATTTCGACTGATTTACGGACAGAAAAGTTAGTAAAACGAATGAACGAATAAAAAATAGGCTCAAGCGAGAGATGATGCAGCGTTGGGGTTGGCCAGAGTCCGAGAGAAAAAAAGTACATAGGTACGTCGAGCAAAGTGTGTTAATCCACAATTCATCAGTGAACTCACGTTCCCAGCTGCAGCCATGGCTAAACCTGCGGAAAGTAGATGCAGCTATATAAAACGTCTATATCCGGCGAGAGCAGATTCAAAATTATGTTCCATAAAAAAGCAATGTCCATTGTTTTCCGGAAGCACAAAAACAGGTTCGAGGTTCAACAATAGTGGGACCATTTCTTCCAACCAGACAGTGGGTCGTGGTGGGAACAAATGTGAATCTTGAATTCATCGGCCCGAGCGATTTCCCACATTAGTTTTAAGAACTTCATTCTGGTTTGAACTATAGCTTGTTCGCGACAAAATCTGGACACAGAAATTTTGGAATAAAACAAATATTGTTGTTTATGTAGTTTATTTGTCGTCAATCAGTCGGTCATTTAGAATAGTGCTGTTGCCTAACATGCTATTTTAAAACATACGTTTTATTTGAAATTGTCAAATAAGATTTAGATTTTAAGGGGGGTGAACAGTGCTTGCAGGAAAACCAAGATTCTTGGCAAGTTTTCTGATCGAGAGATCTGGATTTTCATTGTGGTCGAACACAATTGCTTTTCTGACTTACTCTTATTTCGACGCTTTTTTCGACTAAGCTCTTCTAATGTAAACAAAGGTTGTATTTTCACGAACGCGAAATGTTTCACTCGTTGATTAGATATTTCAGGAGATTTATGTGCTTAGGGATTTTGTCGCGAACAAGCCTTACTTGGCTTCGATTTAGACTTTAGATTGCTGACGTTTATCGTACCCACACAACGTCACATATCGGAAAATTTTCCTGATGAAAACAAATCACTGACACAATCACGCTTTAGCAATCTCTATTGTGGCAGCAAGTTTTTTTTTAATTCATTAGATCCTAATGTACACAGGTAAATTTTAGTTAGTTCAAATTGGGAGAAAAATAATTTCAAAGGTCTCGAGTAGCTGTATTGACATTATCCCACACGTTAATAAAGTCACCCTTCAGGTAATGTTACTGCAATCACCCCCAGATGAAATTGGCTACATTATTAAATATCGTATACATCTCATCAAACAGCTTGTATGTATGTACCTTGCAATTATGTTCTCTTGTTTCAAATGATACAGAAGTACATTAGCGAAGTTAGGATTTTTTTCTGGAGGTGGCCTAGAGAGTTCCTATTAAATTGTTTTTTGTTAAACTACCTTTTAGATAAAAATTCATGAACATGTTATTCATTCAGTTGTGTAAATTTCCACTGTGACCAATTTTTTTGGGATCTATTGTAGGTGATGCTTATTTATTTATTAATGGTATCGGAGAGGGAGCAAATCATCGAACACAGTAAAAAATAATGAATTTTACATATCATGTAAACGGGAAGCATTTAAAATACATAGCTTTAAACTATCAATCGCGTTAGCTTTACGAAGCCGATAATTCATTGTTCATTGTTTGTAACAAAATTAACTAAATTCTATGTCTAGTAGGAATTGGGCCGAATACTCGCGGCTTACCCGAGGTTAGAGGGGTACATTGTCGAAGGATAGGATCTTTGTTGTCTCATCAGAGCGTTGTCGCCAGTATGAACAGTAGTGCGGTTCTAGATTCGTCTGGAGTTTGGCCGGCTATGGGTGAGCAGGGGGCGACGATGAGACTCATTAAGACGAGATTAAGACAAACAAAAACTAATAAAGAGGGAAAAAAGGCATTCTATGGAGATGCGCATCTAGCGAGTAGTGGTTGGACATAAGTCTACTGATCATGCGAATGAAATCACAGCTTAAGTCCAAGCCTTTAAACAACGCCTTCGAAGAAACATGAGGAATAATTAAATGTTTTCATCGTTCAATATTTCCAATCGGTTTGCCAACTTGAAAGCGTACTTTGACGCACTAAATTGTAAAATTCATCATGTGAAATTTGTCTGTCATAAAATTCGCCTTCCTGAGCGCCTTGGTTTCATCGATCGAATAGCCTCAATCGAACTAAGACTATCCGAGAAGATGAAGTAATGGTCTACAAGCATGTTGGAAATCATCCCCAATGCGAAGTTGATTGCTGTCAGCTCTTGGTTTGCGGAAGGTGCTAGAGTTTTCATTGAAGATATCGAAGCCACTGAGACGAGACCCGTCTGTAAAATAACTCTTCACGCAATTGAAAAAAAGAGAACTTCCCTACTCACTGGAACAGGAATTGATCACTCATTCCGTGGCACACAAAATACATCTTGATTATGTCCAATGTCGCTAAACATAAAGCCACGATTGTTTTTGGAGATATTCAGTCTCTGAGTTTGGGATCTAGAACATTTTGATAGCTCAATTTGATATCTTAGAAATTATTTATGCTAAATATTTAATAATCAGTGCTGAATTCTCTGCTCTTAACCTTATAAAATTGAAATAATTTTGAAAAATAATCATAAATTTTTGACCGGTTTGCTGATATTATAATGATATCTTACGCAGGTGTGGAAGCTGCCTTCCTGCACATTCTGCCGTCAATGGATGGCAATCGATGTCCGTCGGTGATTGGCACTTCAGGGGGGGGGGGGGGGGAGGTGGCTGTCAAATATGAACAATCGTCGCCTACCTCGCATAACTGGTTCCAAACGTAAACAAGCCATAAGAAACCAACAGCGTTTGTTTACGTTTGGAACCAGTTTCATACAAGAATGATCAGTAGGCTGATTTGACAGAACGTCCCTCCCCCAGTTGGCACTAGATTGCGAAACAGAGATCGACGTTACATAAAGGAATGCACTCCACTTTTAACGAAATTGAAATGGAAAAAAGAGAGTAATAGTACGTTCAGACTACAGAGTTATAACATGTTACAGCGCTACCTTGATGGTGGTTTCTGTGTTGCAATTATTTGACAACCGTTATAACATGTTATAACTCTCCAGTCTAGACAGCGTTTAAGTCAACTTGAATCTATCTCTGAGTTACTTTCAACGGGTGTGTGTCGGTTTTAAAATCACCGAAAAACCGGGGGAGGCCCCCCTAGCTACGTTAATGCAGCAGCAGCAGCAGCAGGAGGGCAAAGGTTCGACCAAAGCAAACGTAACGGAACCCGCTTTGATAGTAAAAATTAAACACTGCAACGCGATCCCAGTAGGCTCTGTATGTAGCAATAATTTAATAGAGACAGTCGCCTCTTCTACCTAAATGGGTGTTGCAGTCCCTTCGTTCGTTACTGCAATCTGTAGCACGGATAGCCGGCGGGAAATTATTCAATGAGATGTTTCACTCCCGTATGATTTTTTTTTTTCATTCAACCATTTATCCTATGCTTTTCTTAAGAAAACTCGTTTTTGTTTAATATGCATAGCCTACCTGTTTCGCTTGTTTCCACACAAAATTACTCCTAATTATTAGCAGAGAGTGCTGCTCGTCCATCAATACTGTGTCGTTGTTGTTGCTGTCCAGTCGATTACTTCTTCGTTGCAATGGATATTGAGTTATGTATATGGACACTGGGCAGGGCAGTGATGAAGAAAGAAGAAACTGTCATTATGTAAATACGGTTCTTGTCAGCAGCATCCATGCATGTCTATAAAAGTGCAGAAACATGATGAAACTTGAGAAAATTCCATGTGAGTTAATGTTAATGCAATTCTAAACTATTTTTAATTTTAAAGGTTTTGGAAACATATGATTTTAAATAACCGATATTTATGTTCCATGATATTTCCGGTGGACGAAAGAGAAAAGCTAAACATCGATTTCAACACACATCTTGGCTCATCAATGGGGTCATCTTGCCATGTGCGCCTGCACTCGGTTTCGATGGTTGAGCTAGCTCTTTTGAATGAAAGTCACGAATCTGACAAAACATGGTTACAGTTTACAACGTATAATAATAGTTTTTAGCTCAAGAAAACAAACAGCAACATATTCGACTCAAATTGGCAGCTGTGGCATCCACGCTCTGGGAATAATTCGCAGATAGCGTACGATATCGATCTATCTACCAGTCAAGTTCAATCGATTCCTCGCAACATCAGCGACAAAAATCTCGTGGTTTGCGTGCCTTTCTCTCTAAATATAACTGTAGTTGTATATTGACATTTTATTCCAACTTCTTCATTCGTCTCTGTTTCTCTCTCAATTCCAGTTTTTCCACATCGTAAAAACAAGATTTCAACCACATTCTTCAGTCGCTAGAACCGGCGCGGAACGATCTTTGGAGAGCATATTGTGAACGTCGCCGCGCGTAGTAGGCAGGCAGGGCTCGGAAGATCAACAGGCAGTATTGGCGTAACCATGGTGAGGTGGCAGTATTATTCACAGCATCGCGTCGTAGCTTGCTGAGAAGGACGGATGCGAGCAGTTTGAAAATGTGAGCGCACGCAATTAGGCGTGGAACGGTCTCTTCTTTCAGTATATACCATCACCTGAACGTGCAAGTGTGAATGGGCTTCTGCAGGAAATAGGTGTAACTGAATTTAGTATCTTTTCCTACTGATGAGCTGAAGAATTTCGAGAAGCCGGAAGAATAACACATTTATTGTGGTGTCCACAAAAAGGTGGAAATCCGTCACAATTATATTGAGAGAAGCATTGGTGGTTGATGGTTTTAAAAAATATGAAATTGTTTGTGATGAAGGTGTGTTTGAGTGAAGCAAAAGAAGTTCCGTGTCGTCATAAATGAGTTCAAGAAGACGTAGAAAACCAAATGTGCTAAAGTTTTCCAAATGTGCTCATTAGTGGAGATGAAAGCGCTTAATATGAGTGTAGTTGGAGTAGCAATATTACTAGCTAAAAGCGAGCAACAGTGGCAGCATCAGTACTTCAAGTGCCGTTATAGTGAAAATGTAATCCACTGGGAACTGGAACACGTTAAATGCTGAAACACATACACTCTGGCCCCGTGTCTGGTCAAAATAGATCTTCACGGGGTCTTAACCGGGCGGCTCAACCACTGAATGTGTCGACCGTGTCGGCCAATTCAGTGACACCGTGCTCAGCGAAACATATGAATGGTGGACCTCCTAGGTTGTTGTCATCATTCATAACTCCTTTACCGTCGGTCTCGTCGAATAGCAATAACCTTAATGCAACCAACAATAACAACTCAACAACGAACAACAACATCCTGAGTAGCACTACTGTAAATATCAATAAAAATAGACTAGGTGCGCGAGAAGCTTTAACAAGCTTAGGATTATTATGTCTAGGTGAGTACGGTTCTAGCTTTCTATTGAAATAAATCGATTCGATCTTTTTCTGGAAGGTTAATATTTAAAATACGGGCTTCATCACTTAAGGTGATACTCTAAGGAAGCCTTAGCGTGAAACTTTAAAGGCACAAATGTCAGCTTCCACAAAACATACAAATTTGAAATTGCTACTCTCTGTTTGTAGTAGCACTGTTTGTATTTAAAGATATTTGTAAGAAAAATTATATGATAATTTTAATGGGAATTCCAAGGGTGCCGGAGGATAAGCCAAGGAGTATTTCGAGAATAATTTAAATTTTTATTTGTGTCGAATTCAAAAGAATTTTAACCACAAATCACAATTCCAACCGCAAAGAAATCCAGACCTACAGGAATTGGGCAAAATAATCGGGACTCTCTGTGCCTAACTTAAAGTAAAGATTTTTATTATTGTCGGACAAAATGGGCCGGGTCTCATAATTTTATAAAATTTTGCCCACAGATAAATTAATATGAACGAAAACAAATTTCAAAATATTAGGAGTGGTTAATTTTCCCGGAAAATTTTAGTTGACGTTTTCAGATTTTCCCTACTTTGAAAATTTATAACTCATCGTAGAAACAGAATGAAAGTTGCGCAGTGAAATGATAAGGAAATTATTTCAGCAACCTGTAAAACATATAATCTGAAAAATATTTTCCACGAATATTTTCAATTTTGGAAAAATCATTCACAGGATAATGTCCATTTTTCAAATGAATTTTTATCAGGTTTGAAAGCTTCTTATCTTTCACTGGTGAAAATTTCAGAGTGGTGTCTCTTACCGTTTTTTAAGATATGACCGAAAAACGAACGATCAGTCATAGGAAAGCTATGAAAATGTTCGTTTTCATGTTTGTTTTATGAATTTCTTAGAGTGGCGCGTAACCGGTCATTAGTTTTTCGGTAAATACTCTAAAACGTTGAATTTTCACCAGCGAAAGATGAGAATTATTCAAGTAAGAGAAAAGTTATTGAAGAAACATCACTCGGAATATGGTTTTCCCAGTTTTTCTTTGCAATTTTCATCCACCATGATTACTTTCAAGGAAAACATTTTTCAGTTTATATTTTTTATCCTTATCATTTCACCAAAGAAGTTTTTTCTACGGTACTTTGTTCATATGTTATGAATTTTCAAATTATTTCAATTTCATAACATTCAGAGAAGTTGAACCAAAATTTTCCGGGCCGTTAGTTTTTTGGTCATAACTCAAAACCGGTAAGAGAGACCACTCTGAAATTTTATCCTTGCAGATAAGAAATATTGAATCCTTGCTTATACAAGAAGTTTGATTTTGTATTTGTTCCAATTTGGCAATGATGTAGGTTTGTTAGATCATCACCAATATCTGGAGAAGTCTGGTCTGTTTCCGTATGGAACCATGCACTTATTACGAATGATTTTAAATATAAATTAGAAGAGAGGCAGGGAATCTCAGAAATACCATAAGAAATCATGAAGAATACATAACATGTTAAGGTGAAATGGGACGTCAATAATTAGTTGGTTAGTTATCTTTATTGAGGAGACGTTCAGAGGTAATTAATTAAAAACAAGTTTTTTTTTAAATTTAAAACCGAAATTTTGTCAATGAAAATATGTTCACTGCGTTCCGGTAGGCAAGTAGAATGGTTTTTAGCCTTGAAACTGATGGAAAGAAACGTTTGGTGGGTCTTTTAAAGGTCTTTTAGAATTTTGTTCAGTTTTTGTTAGGAGTCACCCACAGTTCATTATTGTCGACTTCTTGCCTACACAGCAAAAAAATAATTTTGATATCACATCAAAGTGGATGCACTACAATCATGTCGAAAATTTCATGTAATTTTTATGACCACATAAATAAACAAATGCAGTAAAAGCAGCGTAATGTCAGTTCATGCATTGTATTAATGATAATTTTGTCCTTTTTAGCAAGTAATATTACACCATATTTTCGACATGATTGTAGTGCATCCACTTTGACGTGATATCAAAATTATTTTTTTGCTGTGTATTACATTTTAATTGGAGCTTTTTGCTATGTTCAGACTGGCGAGTTATAGCATGGCTATCTTGATTTGTTTCACTGTAATAGAGTCAAGAGAAAAACAGTGGAACTCGCATCACGGTTTTCGAAAGATTCCTTTCCCTATCATTTGACAACTGAGGACTTCTGCACCAACTTCTAATGGATTTTCGCGGGAAAGTAAATTAATGGCTCTAGTAAATTAATTATAAATAGCACTGATTTAGACGAATTATCTTATCAACAAATCAAGTCGAACAATGCATTAGCGTTCATCGATTCTCTTTATCGACTTTCTTTTCATCGACTTTCTTTAACGAAAACTTGGCTATACAATCGATTCTTGTCGTGTTTAGCGTATTAGACGCTAGATAATAGATTTTTTCACGAACTGTGTGTTGAAAATAACTGTAAATGTCTTTCAATGGCCATGGGGATGCAAACAAAAAATCGACGAAGATAATCTGTCAATGTAACTTAGGACCTAATCCATTGTTCGGCTTGAACTATTACAAATTCTCTTTATTGATCACTAGCTGAGCGTGGGTGTTACTTGATACTGCCCAACCGGATCATATATCCTTGGAAGCACCGGAATGTGATTCACGAGTGGAAATCCACCTCCTGCCGTGGAGTTTGCTGGGTACCCCGGAAAGGGTAGAGTTTGCTGTCCATCACCTGTTACTACGCTACCGGGATTCATTACGGGTGCCAATTCACCTCATGCATGCTATGATGTTTATAACGTATCTGGAAAAGGGTAGTGGTTGCTGTCTACCACATGTTGCACCGCTGTTCATCGCTCGCCCATGAAAAGCTGGTGAGGCGGAAACTGCCGACTGTACCCCTGGTTGACTCACGTTTGTTGCCACCCCCAGATAAGGCTGTAATTGTGGTAGCAAAGTCGATGGCTGACTAACTACTCCCATGTTGATTGGTAACCCCTGGTATGGTGAAGGAAAACTCACCGTTGGGAGTGTAGGACAGGCCATCACAACATTCGTTTGAGTGGTTCTACCTAGTCGTGGCAATATTGGTACTTGACTAACCAAACCTTTTGGTATTGCCCCAGCTAGACGAAAGCGATCGATTTTGGATTGTAAACCCGTGAGCGATTGTGAGTATGCTGAACTGGAGAAATAGTCACCGAATGAAGGTTTGCCGACCCACCTATCGCTCCTTGAAGAGTTGACGACAGAATCGGGTCGAACGTATTCGCTACAGCACCTGCAGTCGTCGAAGTGTAGCTGATGTCGTAAGTGGGCACGACCGACGATGCCACCTCTGCCAACACGCACCTTGGAGCGATCGAAAGGCAAGGTTGCAAAGACTCATTTCAGCTAAAATAATGTTTTTCGGAATAATAAAACCAAAAGATGGTATGATGGCATGTTTTACTTGTAACTTACAAGAAGAGGTTACAAAGTATGCGTTGGAAACATAAAACCTGCAAATTTTGCTTTCTATGAGTCACAATCAGCGATTTGCTGATCGCTGAGTGAGTGAGTGAGTGAGTGAGTGAGTTTGTGAAAAATCGCTGATTGTGACTCTCATGAAGTGAAATAAACAGGTTTAATATGTCAAACACATTCTTTGCAACCTCTTCTTGTATCCTACCAATTCAAAATGTGATCATGGCATCTAATTATTTCATAATTTAGAAAAACATTGTTTTAGCTGAAATGAGTCTTTGCAACCTTGTCGAAAGGTTCTTCATCCCTCCGACCATCCCTTGCATCCAGTTCTGCACCCTATTGACGCCTGCCACGACTGATTGCTCGTTCAAGCTGTTGTTGCCAAGATCTACCCAACATTCTTGGTAGTTGAAAACTAACAGTAATGTGTGTTTCTAGTGTTTCATTGAGCAGCATGACATTATTGACTGCTCTGCAACAGCCGTTGTATATTGATCCCATTAACTGTCACCGCAATTTGCAAACATGATTCCAGGTTCTCATCTGGCAAAGATGAACGACTATTATTTTCCAATGTTTTCATTTTTGAACTCTCACAGATTCCGAGCGAAGAAAACATCATGAAACTTCAATGTAAACTTAACCCTGCATTGTAGGTCGATAACTTACATTTGAAATTTGTGTTTCTGGTAATCTTCTAAGTGAATTCCTTCTGAAGGGCTATAGTTTTTTCCTGAATATTTTGCGACGAAAGAAATAGGAAAAATTGTACATTCAGGGTGGATTTATTCACCTACCCTTCCAAATTTAAACATATGGGCTCATGATTTAAGCACAGTTAATAAAAATCAGTAATTTATTATTATTATTATTTATTGGGTATCAAGCTGGAGCTGCGTGACAGCTTAGTTTTCAAGACTTGATCCATTTGAATAAATTTTGCTTCTATCTTTGACAATACAGCAGAAGGACTAGCCTATGGTGGCCGCTTGAACACTGGATTCCGTGTGTATTGTTTCAAGATGGTTATAGAAAAAATGCTGTGACGTGTGCGCGTAGATTCATCCGCGTAGTAAACCGATTGACTAAGTAAATCCGTTTCGAACGAAATATCTAAATTATGTATGTTACGAAAACCGCGCGAATTCCGATAGCCGTGCGAGACAACCGAAGCGAGAAAAAATCAATTATCATTTAAAGAGTGCCACCAAAATAAATGTGATAGCCTATGTTGGCAAGTTGATTAATTTTGGTTTCCTCCCTAGATATTCTACTTATTTTACTATTGAGCTTTGTTTCAATTTAGTTATTTCATCAATTTAGTATCAATCATTTCGCGACCGTACCGAACAAATTCTAAACTACATAAGCTCAAAACACTTTCGGCAAGCTCTACCGAATTGCGAATCACTTCTGCGTAAGCTCCGTAGACGTAGGCGCGTTGAATCCGACAGCCGCGAAAAGTTAAACATGCATCGATGCGGCAATACCACATAAGAAAAGCTCGATTTTACAGTCACGTAGGGTTTAGTTCATAGATTAACATTGACTGCTGTTTACAAATGTAAGTACTTGAACATGAAGAAATAAGTTAACTCAGCTGCTTTAACCGCATATATCAGAGATTTCGCGTATTGAGAGAATAATATAGTTATCGAGTACAATAAACTCAGGGGGAAACAATACCTACAAAAGATTGAAAGTTCATCAATTATCACGTACCTCTACTTTTACTTATTTCCTAAACTATTCCTTTCCTTGTTAATTTGCTAAATGCTATTGGTTTGCTTGCTTTTTCTTTTTGAAGTTCAAGACTAAATAGGAAGATTTATCCTACAACTTTAAAGGTTAGCTGCCTCCCTAAGCGGACCCCCACATCCTAATTCTTTCGCCAGTATCGCACCCAACGTCAGTGCCTATACGTAAGCGTACTACAACGCGGCTCTCAAACAAAGGAGTAACAAGTGTGATACTATCACTGCTGAACTAGATCTTTAGTTTTCTCATGCAGTGGTTCATCAGAGAGGGGAAGCTTAGTAATCCCCATTGCCTGCCCATGACGCCATTCTATCGCGGCATGAGCCAGCAACGCCGGCCCTAAACCTACCGTCTCCAACACTCCACTATAAAGCATGAAATTAAGAACGCCCACCAACAGCAAGGTGCAAAAACTAGCCAAGGGGAGGGAAACATCATTCATTTAGTCAGTTATTATTTCAAGGTTTTTTGAAAAAGCTAACATCCCTTAAGTCGACAACATAATTTTTAACACATTCTGGCCTTGCCTCTTCATTGGGATTCATGAGCTGTGTAGTACAGTCTGTGGGTCGGATACGAGTAATTTATCCAAACTCATCGTGAGCCTGCTTGAGGGGGGCGACTCTATCTACTATGCAGGAAAAATGTGTTTTGCTGTGGTTAGCTGAGTAGATATAAAGAAAATTGAAGACGATTCTGAACATTTCATGCAAAATTATGAATAGTGATGCAAGTAGATGCGAGAAATAAAAGAAGATTCCATCTAGAATTGAGATTTTGATCTGTCGCCTCCCTGCCCAAGGGCCAAAAAACTGGAGCACTAGTGCCAAAACTGGCACACTTACCCTAGCTGGAAACAATTATGTAACAGTCAGTCAGTCTAAAGAGTGTTAATCAAATGGGCGGTTACTGAATGATGAAAACTTAATGTTCGAAAGCGTTACTATCGCAATAATATAAAAATATAATGTTTGATCTGAGCAAGCATTATTTCGATTAATTTATCGACGATATTTCTATGTTAAGTTGCCTCCATAACTCAGTATTCTTGATTTTAATTTTTTCTCTCTTTCACGTTTCAGTGTCTCTTTTGTTAGCTTTATTATCGTTAATATTTTTGTTGAAAATTTCTCCCGGTGGACGCGAGCCACCACCACCGACTGTTGGACCTGCAGTATTGGAGGACTACGCGATCGTTTACGATGTGACGCTGGCGCTATGTGCCCTTTCGCTGTCGTTGAACCTGTGCTGCCTGCTGGTGTGTGCCATCCAGTTTTTGTTTGCTGTTAAATTAGTTCGTGCACCTGCAACCACCGGAAGGTAAGAAGAGCCTGATCACCAAAAAGTACGATAAAGATAAAGAATGCGCGTCCCTTGCACACTGGAAAATTGTATGCCCATGATACATACTTTCCCTTCATTCATCTTGCTGACCTGTTTTGAATGTCTGCTGGATTGCTTCTTCTGCTACTAAGTGACTTTTTAACGGAAAACAATTCATTCATCAACGACTAATATTTTCTACAACGTATGTAAAATTTATGTAAATTTCTGCTATATATAGCGCACACGTAATTAACACTAGATTTGGCGTAAATTTACATGATATTTCACGCAATAACGCCTATACTAGTAATGTTTGTTAATAAGCTTGTAAACAATTTCGATGTTTATGCCAATTATAGCTCAGTATTATGGGAGGGGAGATTTTACACAACTCCAAGCTGTGATGATTTGCTGCACCATTGAATTTGAATGTAGTTTATTTATGCAGTGTAATTTTAGATTGCAACCTTATATTTTGAGAAGATTTCAATCAAGATTTGATTGGGAAGCGATGGCAATGTGTGGAGCAAAATGGTTAATTTGATCCCGTTTGTTGGAGATAACTACAGTAAACATTAATTGCTGACACAAAGGATTTCCAGTGCGAATAAAGTAAACCTTTCGGGCTACCGACCTAACGGTAGTTCAAGGTAACTTTAGAAGTAAGCCTATAGCCTATAAATATGGGAACATATTCAAAAACCATAAGCATTCGTCTATAGTCTTAAATTAGCTTCAATTCAGTACTGGTTATCCTATGAGCTCAGTCGCAGCTACAAAGCAAGACCATGCTGGATGAAGGTGGCTGAATTTTTCGGGTTGGAAAATTTCTCGGCTTCCCTGGGCATAGAGTATGATTATACTTGTCATACAATTATACTTATGCAAAAATGGTACAGGCATAAAAAGCTCACAATTAATAACTGTGGAAGTGCATCTAGAACACTAAGTTCAGAGCACGCAATAAGTTTGAAATGTCAAGAAGAAGAAGAAGAAGAATTAGAAGAAGCCAGCACTGGTATACTTTTTATTTATAATTATAGTCACTTTAACGCTCTTGGGTCATTCGTGACTTGTCCGGGGGTGAGATTTGAACTCGTGACTTTGGCGTGAGAGGTATGGATGCTAACCACTACGCTGGGGTCGCCCCCACTGGTATACTAAGAAGCAGCACTTCAGACGCTAAAAAACATTTAATTAGCACTGATAATGCTAACAAGCCTTTAATATGAATTATTCAGTACTGACAAAAATAATGATGCTTTAGGCCACAGAAAGGTATGTAAGTTTTAACTTTTTATCATCCATAGTATCAATGTTTTTTTTACATTCTTACCATGTTGCTTTGTTTTTCTTTCTGTGATTATTTGACATGTAATTTTACTATTATTATTTTTATGATTAGTATTATTAACATCATTTGGGCTACAGCCAGCCTGTTGATGTATGGCAACAATAAACAATAAACAATAAAATTTATTCAAAATACTTAATTCGAAAATAGAGTCGCTTTTAGATTTCACATTATGATAAAAAATATGGTTTTCATTATGAACCTAGGTATAATACATTAATTTTCTACATACCTACCATCCAAAAACCGTTTGATAATTTGACCAAGTTTAACGAAATGTTTTCAAAAAAGCCTGATATATTTCAGAAACGAGATATTGTTATTTACTGCATTCAGTTCCAACCTTGCGATATAGCACATCCCATCCAAAAGTGGCCGTCTTACCCCGGTACAAGTCTTGTAATAGCTTTTGTAATACCTAATAATTTAAAGAAAACTTTCTATTTTGTTCTGTAAGTACATCGAGCAGACATATAACATTAAATTCCGTAAACACAAAATAACAAGTGACGGCTGTCGCCAACCATAATGTTTATTTTTGTTGTTCATTTTGACTTTTCACCTTGATAATCAAATGTGTTTTACAACATCAACTGTACTATAACAAAGAACTCTACATCATTTTTTTCAAGAGTTGATTGCTTCAATAATCCAAAGGGTGGCCGTCTTACCCCGGGTGGCCGCCTACCCTCATTGCCCCTATAGGTTGGTTGGTTGAATTGTACTTTAAGCTTAGGGCGACCGCCTTACCCTGTCTTACCCTAAAACAGTCGTCTGTAGTTGATATTTGTTTATAGTAGTTAGACATGTTGTGCTAGGAACTTGTTGCTGGGTTTTTTTTTTTTTTTTTTTTTTTTTAATTCTTTATTAAAGAGATTTTTAGCCTTAGGCTAGTTCATCTCTAACTTGTTGTTGGGGTTAGACCTCGGGTTAGACCTAATTGTGGGCCGATTAAACATAACCTGACCTTTCCCGCTATTTTTCGAGTGGATTTTGTCCCAAAATGGTATGTTGGAAACATCTAAAACACTTCTTCGAATGATAGGTGCAACCGGATGATGGTTGTTTTGAAATCAAATGATTTTCCTCTCGAATATAGAATGAACATTGTTATGAGAAGGTATAGGGCTTTTAGTTGAAATGCGTAATGCTCTCTGCAGAATGATTGTCATCTTAAATTGAAATGTATATGGTATTCGTTGAGCCTCATTCAAAACGATGATGTAAATAATTCTATCGAACGTCATTAAAGAAGAATATCAACTTTCTAATTAATTTATAACTAAATATCCTTCAGATTTTCAGCAGATTTTGTAGCTGAGAAAATTTCATATTAGTTCAGATAGCAAGCTAACACGTATATTATTATGACTACGACTACGACTAGAAGAACAAAAAGTTCACTTTTCCCATTGTAATTTCCTTATAAACGTCAAAGGGATAGTGCAGTGCGAGATCGCAACCAAATGAGCTCAAATTTTGGGAGAAAGATCAGGACCTGATAAAGAATCGATTGAGCTTGGCAGAGCAAAACCGATTTTGAACAACCCTAGAAAAAAACGAAAACTATTTGACGTCTGATAATGAGAAAAATTAAATGTATAAATCTGTGTTATGGGATTATTTTGACAAGGTTTAAAGGGTGGAACGAGCAAATAGTAGTCAGTCCAGTATTGGAAAAATATTAAAAGATCAAATCTCACCAATGAGCCTAATCTCATTTGAGTATCGTAAACAAAAATCAACATTCAGATAACAGCGGATGATATTACAAGCTGTGATACGGTTGCTCTAATATCATGCTAACAAAACTCACCAGCTACAATTCTCACCAATCCGTGGTGAGTTTGAGTTTCAAGATTTTTGCTGTACACCCTAACACCAACCGAAACTTCCATCACTGCTGACAGCAGTAACTTCGTGTCTGCTATCTGTGAAGAGTAAAGCGAACCCCACACGTAAAAATATTGACGCGGAGGGGAATTATTGACAATTATATTGATGATGTGAATACAGAATTATTGTCAATACGGATGTATTGACGTCAATATATTGACAATACGATTATTGTCAATAAAAACAATCGTGTAGGGTCCACTTAAAGAGAGATTGCAAACTATGCTTTGTCTAGAGTCGGTGTATAATGAGTCACGCCAAGAGAAAAACAGTTGAACTCGCATCACGGTTTCCGAAGGATTCCCTTTCTTTTCACTTGGCAACAGAGGACTTCTACATCAACTTTAAATGACTTCTAGCGAGAACCAAAAATAACGGCTGTAGTGAATCATAATATCAGTGATTTTGTCAAATTATCTTATCAAAAAATAGTAGAAATTCTCATTACTGATCAAAACCAAACGTATCCCATGACCATTTAATGCTCGCTGCGTGTTTACGATGATTTCTTCAATTTTATTTTATATTTCATTGCAATACCTTTCGTAGACCTTTCATAGCATCGTAATGTTTATTTACTTTGCACGATAGGTAGCCGATTTGACAGTTCAATAGGTAGACTTGGCTTCACTCTTGGCGTGACTCATTATACACCGACTCTAGCTTTGTCTTTCTAAGAAAACGATGTGCAACAGAATCATTGTTGTAGTACACTCAAAAAATAAATCACATTTCCAATGGAAAATATCCATTAGAATTCCACATAATTTTCATGTGATCCCATAATTGGGAATCGCACTACAAAATCACATGAACCTTATGTGTCAAATGAAATTTATGTGATTTATCACATAGAATTCATGTGATCATATGAATGTTATGTGAATTTCAGATACGAATCATTCATTTTGTTATTGGAAAAATATCATGTGCGTTCCCAATGGAAACTATATGAAAACTTATTTTGGTGTAAGTCAACTCGTAGCCGCAATTTTGCATGTTATGAATAGTCTCGCAATAGCAAAGGAGCTTGTAAAATCAATATCAAGCTTGATATTTTATTCCAATATCACACGTGATATTGGGAGCCCTTGAGAGCAAAACAAAATCATTTGAGTGAGGATAATGCCATCACTGGAGTCACGCAAAATTGAGTGTAGAAAATTATGTTTATTTGTTTCTTTGTTTATATGTATATTTGGTTCTACATCAACAGACTGGGTTTAGTCCTAATGATGGATTAAGCAATACTAGGAAATTCAATATAGTCAAGAAGTAACAAGCTGCAAAGGCCGTGAAGTCCAACTTAATTCCTAATTCTTGAAAATATATCACGGAATCTCTGACGCAGCGTCTCGCGTACCAAGTGAAAATCAAATAAGGAAGCAACACGATTGAAAACCCTTTGTAGCCCATTGATAGCACCATACGAACTATAGTTTGTACGACGAAAAGGTATCCTCAGCATTGCGTTGTTACGGAGTGCTCGTGGTTGAACGTTAACGTCGATTTGTTGTAGCTTTCGTAGCTTGGAAGGCTATGAGGATCCCTCCAAGGCAATCGTCGAAGGGCAAACCAGATGAATCGTCGTTGGATAGGCTCTGCTCTTTGTACACTGTTTTGGTAATTGGGATTCCATACAGGGCAGCAGTATTCTAACACCGACCAGACGAAGGAACAGTAAAGCGACTTCAAACAGTAGATGTCCGTGAAACTTTTAGCTATCCTGAAAATGAAGCCGAGCGTTCTGGATGCCTTGTCGATCACGTATCATGGTGGAATGACCTCAGAAATTTGGTTACAAAAAGTGCAATAACTTAAGGAGGATGGTGTGGAACAGTCTTTATCAACGGATAACCAGCCATAGACAAATGCCGAGCAGTATCCTGAGCGGTGACGAAGCAAAGGTCTAAGCTACGATTGTTCTCATTAACCACGTGGTTGATTTGCTTGCTTCAGAGTGGCGATACTGTAATGATCCAAAAGGCTTACAGCTCCAGAGTGAAATGTAGAACGGTCATGGTCCAGCTACATTAATCATCTATTTGATGTTATTTTGGCAGCTTACTCGCACATGAAGCCCCGATATTGTTGAGTCCACTCTGTGATAAGCAATCATATCACATTCACTTAGTGTTCTAGATGCTTTGCCAAATACCAATACACGAACTTCACGGTTGATTTAGTTTTGCACAACTTTATTGTATTGTTAAATTAAGTTATTTGACAATGTACGCCATTTTATTTGGATTTTTTTCACATTATCAACTTATTCTGGGTCTTTCTTGAGGTTTCTCTTGATGATTGTTCATGAAAATTTCATTTGATTTTTTGCCTAAGTTGTCCTGAACTAGTTCTGATCCGATTGCAGTATAACATTCTTGACCAGGAAACTGTTTAAAATCAGCCTTCACAAAGAAAGATTTGAATTTAACGAATATGTGTGCAGAACTTTAAAATGCTGGTTCTCTTGTTTGGAAGTCATCTTAAAAACTGAATGCAAAATTCCAAACCCAAAAATGACAAGGGATTTCGTAGACACACACCTTCGAAAATCAACGATTGTTATTTTTTAAAGTGCACACTAAACAGAAATGCACTATATTTGAGTTGACTATTTTTTGTTTGTTGCACCCTTTATACATATCATATGAATTACGCTTAAACTCTACACGGTTAGAAAAAAGTACCCAAAAGTAAGTTATTTTCACTCATCTCGGCACTATAGTGCAGGAACCTAAAAGTAGGTAAAGCGGGTCGAAGTAGTTTTCATTTACTTGTGTGCAATTCGTATGGAATTTTCCACTAGCTTTCAACGCAAAAATAAGTTAGTTGTACCCAACAGTAGGAAAATATAATTATACTCAACGTTGGGTTCCCACACTTTACTGCCCCTGTTGGGTGGTTTTGCTCCTCCGTTTTTGACAACATTAGAAGGAGAAAAGGAGACAAACTAGTCAACTAGAAGGTAAAAGTGAACTGGCCGTTGGGTACTTTTTTCTTACCATGTATATTAAGATAAAAATGAAAAAAAAATCTTGCTCGTGTCGCAGTGTTCCAAAAATCACTCTCAAATCTCATTCTTTGCGCCCTTCTGAGAGAATAAACTCGCGTTTGAATCTGCAAACCAAAACTCACGCATTCACATAGCTAAACATTCATTCCAATGTATAGTTCATTAAAAACAACTAAAACGTATACTACACGCAATCAAAAAATCTATTACAATGAATGTTAGTTCCGTTTCCTATCATCCTCTGTTCATGAACATCGCAACGAATGTTAGAAATTGACCATGCAGGCGATGTAATGGTTTTTTGTCTTTTTTTATTTCGTGTTCCATCTACGCTTTCGACTATACCAGTAAGCTTGTAGAACGACGCACATTGTAGAACATTGTAGAACGACGCACACACTTGTCTCGAATCTCTCCAACAGGAAAAGCATACGAAGCCGAGCATGCGAGAAAATGAGCGCTTCATGTTTGCTTTTAGGCTAACCATATTCAGAAGCATGGAGAGAGCAGAGGAGAAAGCACAGGTCTGATAGTCGCAACGTCCGTGGTTCGAGTCCAGTCGGTAACCTTTTTTCTATTTTTTTTCGACATAATTAATTTCACTCACTAATACACTCCACATTTTTCGGTCTCCAATTTTCTTACATCGGACCGCAGCTAGCTATATCGCATCCTCGGTTCATGCGGTCTCCACTAACATCCTCTGATGATGAATCACACATAATTGTAAGCGAATCTTACATCCCCGGTTGGGTGTAGCTATCAGAATAGTATCAAAACACGGTTTGTTTACGTTTCAGACATAGGCCTGTTTCAAATGTTACTCGAGATATCGCAAAAAGGGTAATTAATGGGCTTGTTGGCTACTTGGGATATGCTATGTGGACTCAATAATTTTGGTTGCATTGTTATTTAATTGGAAGAATACTGCATAATTTCTGATTATAAGCATTTATGGGCGATTTTGTCCGTGACTAGTTTTTTACTGGTTTTAAATTTCTCAATACCGAAAAACCAGTTTTCGAAAATAAACAAGACATAAGACAACTGTAAGCGAAATGACCTACTCCAGTGCACATGATAAATCTTTTTAGATAATATCAAAACTTCAGAAAACAACTTTTTTATGTGGGGCCTTCTGAATAGCTGACCTCTATGAATACATTAAATTAAATACAAATTTTGTGCTGTACACTCAAAAAATATTGGAAGCTAAATAGTATAAAAGTTACGCTAAATCGCAACTCTCCGTGCCGACGCAAAGGTCGGTATAAAGGGAGAGAATACAGACTTAGTATAAAAATGATTTATGCCTGCCATAGTATAAAATCGAAATATGCTTGCAATGCATACATACGGTTTATTCGAGGGAATGTATTTTCTGCTTCTTTTTCGTTTAATGCTTAATATGATTGTTTTAAAATAAAAATTAAAGTTTCAATTAAAGCAAAAGCAGTACCATAAAATTATCATTATCGAAACCCAGGTTTATCATTACCCAACGTTTTGATCTTTGATAGGCGGCTAAAACTTTGGTCCACCCGGAATGGTCATATTCAGCGCTTTGGCCATTAAGTCGAACAGATAGAAGAAATTACTGTGCATCAGCAGATTATTGGCTAATCGATACAGGGTTGCCATTGATGGCAGGCTCTGATTCCACTTCCGGCAGGCTTATATGCTTCTTTCGATCAATGAGCGGACGATGTTTGCAGAACCATTTGAGAACGTTACCACCTTCAACGTGAACTGAAAAACGACTACGAGTGCCATCGTGTTTAAAAATTGTCATTTTTGATCGTTTTTATATACACTGATCGAATTCCACTCCGATAATCGCACTTAGTATAGTTTTGAAGAAAATATTAATCGGACCAATGTATAAATTTTGATTAATAATAAAATGCATAAAATTTAATCAATATTAGTTTTGTAATATTTTTGAGTGTATGAGATTCCTTAAAATACACGCTTTCAACTCTTGCAATAGTCTCAATGTTGTAAACTTGTTCCTCATCACATTTTTCGTTTTCTTTTCCAGGGGTAACAAATATCTTCAGAAATCGAGCGTCAGCCGAGTGTGTGCTGTTGGTGGATTTTTCATTTCAATTCCAATTTTCTTAACAGGTAGGCAATTTCATTCTAAATAGTAGGTCTCAATATCTAAAGTTTTCCGTATTTTCAGGAATCATTCTCTACACCTTTACACAGTTTCACTCAACACCGGCAATAGTGACAAGCATTCTGATCGGCGTGGGTATCGTATTTTGTGGTGGTGCCATGGTGCACAACGTTTTCGTGTGGCAACGTGAAAAAACCATCAGTGTCCGCCAGTCTCCGATGAACTTGAATCTAACGCTTTCGCCGCAGATTAGCACGATTTCGCACCCAATGCAATATCTCAATCAAAACGGGCACGCGACCCACATGGCACTGCATCATAGCCACGCGAATCACAATCACACGCCAGTGACCCAGCTGACTCCGGTGACTCCGCTCTCGGGGAATCATTCCCATATAAGCTTCAACCACTCGGCGTATCTGCCATCTTACGGAGGCATGCGGGCAGCAACGGCAACACCACCGACTCCTAAGGTTAATGCATTGATGGGTCGAGATGCGACCGGATCTGTTAGTCCGGGAATGCCGACTAATCTCAATGCGACCACTCTCGATATAAGTAACGTAACTGCCACGAACTCACCGCACGAGCTCTCTACGCTGGTGTGAGACTGATGTCGCTCTCATGTGATTGGAATTATGAATGCAAAGCTGAAGGTTACATTCGAACGGAATGCTTTTCCAGCAGATCAGTTCCTTAAAAAGGATCAGTTTAAAATTGAGGATGGAAGTTGCATTTTATCTCCGATAAGACGCCGTAACAATACAAATTTGAGCATGTTTTACACATCATCCGTATTTTTTAAAACTCAGCGGTAGGATACCGATAAACGTAATGTACAAAGTACCATCGTAAGACGTCGACTTAGTGATATCTCATAAGTGTACAGCTCGATGTGTAAAGACATTTTAAAGTAGCTATTTATTTATCATATGAATGTTCTCTGTACCGCAGCTCGAGATAGGTTTTCAATTTTAAGGTTGATCGCCGTACAGGACAATTTTTAGTACGAATGTTTGGGCAAGTGATTGTGTATCAAAAATACAGAAATGCTGAAATAAACGTTACATTTTTACTATTTTATTTTCGGTAATTTGTGTGATAATTGTGAAAAAACCCATTTCTAGCTGAACTAGCATTTATGCTTGATAACATTACATATAAGGGATCTTTTGATCCTCCAGCACTCTTTTAACAATTTAATAATCCAGAATATTTTTCCAACCATATTTTTTACTTTATTTGTACAAGCTCAATCGAATAAACTTTACAGAGCCAAATTATCATTTTCAATTTACATTATTTATGTCTTATATTTAAAGTTAAAGGAACTGGATCGAATACGAGGTTAGTGAAGATTTACAATTTTTTGATGAGAAAAGGAAGAATGAGGTTTGAAATGTGGCTTACGATACAAATATTTAATTAATCCTAAAACATGCACTTATTTCTATTCATCTAGAAAACAAAAAAATACACAAAAAAACCCACACGTACAAAATACAAACAAAACACAAGGTTAATCAAACTTACAATCTAAGGTTAATATTCTTAAAGTAAACATATATGAGTTTCATAAACTCCAGATCGCGTCTAGCCAAAATAACCCGAACTGGAACATTAGGTTGTCTACCTCGAGCCCGAAGGGAATCGTACAGCTCAGATCTGACTCCACGGTGCTCGGCACATGACCAAATAATGTGATCTGCGTCCTGGTAACCTTGTCCACATTCACAGAGATTGCTGTCCCCCAGGCCAACACGGAACAAGTGAGCGTTTAACGAGTAGTGATTGGACATGAGGCGAGACGTCATACGAATGAAGTCTCGACCCACATCCAACCCCTTGAACCATGGACTCTTTGACACCTTAGGGATGATCGAATATAGCCATCGTCCCAAACTTCCTTCGCTCCATTTATTCTGCCAGCTGACGAGTGACTGTTGACGATAAATGAAGAAAAATTCATCGTAGGCGATTTGCCGATCGTAAATATCGCCTTCCACCGCCGCCCACCTTAGCAGCACTTGCTAAGGCCCACCTTTGCATGGGTCCCATCTCATTGCTCGATTCCGGGCAATGAGATGGGACCCATGCAAAGGTGTTGACAAAAGATCTTAAAGATAAAGCACTTAGAAGCTTTCGTATTTTCATGAGAAAATACGAGAAGTGCTTTACCGGCCTCATGAAGTGAACTGAGACTATCCGTAAAAATAAAATAATGATCTGGTGCAAGTGAACGATGATGCTCTGAGATTCCGCGAATCTCTTGCGTCATAGATAAATCAAAACTAACTGAATTGCCGAAGTCGGAGAAGCATATACGATGAGGATCATACTGTGAAGGGCTGACATCCTGTGTTATGTACACGTAGTACAATGACATAAAACGAGTTGGAGGATTTAGCTCAAGAAGCTTCTCAAAGTTTGCAATTACCAGTGGGTTCATAACTTCGGGTGAGGAGCCTGCGGGACAATTCCGAAAACCGATCAGAGAGTGGCAACATGCCCGCCAACACTTCAAGACTCATCGTATGAGTCGAGTGCATGCATCCTAACGCGATACGAAGACAACGATACTGGATACGGCCCAGTTTGATGATATGTGTTTTAGCCGCCGACTGGAAGTAAAAACTACCGTACTCTAAAACGGTAGATCTTGCGTATTAGCTCCCCACCACGTTCCGGAGAAAATTGATCCTTTGTTGGCATTTTCGTCTCAGATACTCAATGTGGGATCTCCAGGTGCATTTGGAATCGAACCAGACCCCAAGATATTTGAAAGACATGGAATGAGTGATCGGCTTACCCAAAAGTTGAAGCTTCGGTTGTGCTGGGCTATGCTTCCTAGAGAAAACGACCAGCTCAGTTTTCTCCGTGGAGAATTCGATACCTAGCTGGGATAGCCCAAGTAGATGCAGGTTGACCTTTTTGTGCCCTGTCATAGACACTACGCCGTCGTCTGCAAGTTGTCAGACGATTGTCAAAAGGGGGCTGAAACATGAGCCCTGGGGGAGACCCATGTAACTAAATAGAGAAGCTGTAGAGTTTCCATGAGAAAACCTCATATGTTTCTCTGACAGCAAATTGTACAAAAAGTTATTAATTAATGGAGAAAGGGCACAAGCGTGGAGTTTGTCTGAAAGGACTTCAACCGATACTGAATCAAAAGCCCCACAGAAGCCATTTGCTCTTTTTTAGCAAAAGCCAACTGAATTTCTGTGGAAATCAACGCGAGACAGTCGTTCGTTCCCTTGCCCCTATGGAAACCAAAATGAGTATCAGAGAGTAGATGGTTCATCTCAATCCATTTGTCGAGGCGAAAAAGGATCATTTTCTCCAACAATTCTCGAATGCACGATAACATCGCGATGGGACGATACGAGTTATGATCTGACGCGGGTTTTCCAGGCTTTTTAATGGCTAAAATCTCACTTGCCTCCAATCATCCGGAACAATATTGAGCTCCAGGAACTGACAAAACAAGTTCAACATGCGCCTCTTAGCGACGTCTGGGAGGTTCTTCAACAAGTTGAACTTGATCCTATCAGCCCCCGGAGCCGAATTGCGACACGAAAGAGTGAGAGCTCCATCATTGTAAAAGGTTGGCTGATCTCGTCTACTGGATTCGTCGTTTCGTGAGGAATCATCTGTGCCGGTACGGAATCTGGACATACTTTTCGCGCGAACTTGAGAATCTAACGATCCAAGTACTCCTCGCTCTCGTTGTTTGGAGACCGGTTACGCATCCTTCGCACCGCGTTCCAAAGCGTATTCATCGACGTTTCGAGCGATAATCCGTCCACGAATTGCCTCCAGTATCCGCGTTTCTTGGCTTTGATGACGCTCTTGAGTTCGCGTTCAAGAGCCGAGTACGCTTCGAAATGCTTGGGTGTTCCACGTTTCCGGAAAAGCTTAAACGCGTCGGACTTTTCACGATAAACCTCTGTGCATTGCTGGACCCACCAAGGGGAAGGAGGTTTCCTACGAAAAGACGTTCCTGGAAACGGCTGAGTTTGAGCTTGAAGCGCGCTGTCCAAGATCAGATTGGATAGAAAGTTATATTCCTCCAACGGTGAAAGCCCTTCTACCGACGTTAGGGCTTCATCGATCACAGTCTTGAACTTTGTCCAATCTATATTACGGGTGAGATCGTACGCGACGTTAACGGGTTCCGACGGACTGAACACACTGGCAATCGAAATTTTGATCGGCAATTGATCATTACCCGGGGGATCCTGGATTACAGTCCACGTGCAATCCAACGATAATGAATTAGAGCAAAATGTGAGGTCAAATCTGCTACCATTCGAGGATGGTCCAGCCATACGTGTTACTTCTCCATTGCTAAGAATTGTCATATTGAAGTTTTCACAGAGTTCATATATCAAAGTAGAAAGGTTGTCATCATACAGTTCTCTCCAGCCTGTACCGTGGAAATTAAAATCTCCCATAATCAACCGTGGAGTGGGAAGAACTGAACAGATATCTGAAAGTTGTTTTCGATTAACCGAAAATCGGAGAGGAATATACACAGAAGCAATACAAAGGCTCTTGCCTTTAACAATACCCTGACATGCGACAACTTCAATACCTGAAAGTTGTGGAAGATTCACTCTATAGAAGGAATGGCATTTTTTGATCCCCAAAAGCAGGGTGCCTTCCATTCATTTTGACTAAAAAAATGTTTTATGAAATTATGGAATAATAAGATAATATGATGATATTTTGTATGTGTAAGTAATAAGAAAAGATTGATAAGTTTGTGTTTGACACATCAAACCTGCAAATTTAGCTTTGAAAGAGTCACAATGAGCGTTTTTCTGATCGCCTCTTCGCGAAGATTGAAGAGCGAAGAGTGGGTGAGATAAATTACAAAATCGCTTATCGCGACTCTCATGTAGCAAAATTGGCAGGTATTATGTGTCAAATACAAACTTTACAATCTTTTCTTGTTGTTCACACAATCAAATTTTTTTCATAATATCTTATTATTCCATAATTTGTTAAACCCTTTTGTTGATTCAAAATGAATGGAAGGCACCCTGCCCAAAAGTACCCCTCCTCCACGCGAATCCTCACGATCCAGTCGAATAATGTTAAAATCATAAAAAGGAAGATCTATACACAGACAAACAGACATAACACTCGCAAATTGCTCATCGAACAAGCATATAACGGTAAATTTAAAAGTATCGTAGTTGGTAGTACCGCCACCTGTGTCGTAGTCAATTCCCTTGCGTTTGACGTTTACCCACTACTGCCATCTGTTCAGCGTACTACCCACCACAGTGTACTCAACAGAAATATTCAATATGTTATGTCTGTTTGTTTGTGATCTATATATGAAGAGAGCCAAGTTTCACAAAGAGCAAATGCATCACAATCATTATTGTGAACTAAAATCTTAAAAGGATCTAATTTAGGAATAAGACTTCGACAATTCCACTGTAGAACAGTGATCAAATCCCCGACCTCGTTTGGAAAATTATCCATCGAAGGAAATGATTGCTGCAAGGAGGGGCCACTTCAATGTCAATTGCTTCAAGAGTGTCTTCACAGTAAGAAGCATTGCAAGAATAATGCTTTTCAGAGGATCAGAAATATCAAGGTACTTGAGGATATCATCATAGAGGTAACTCTAAGACTAGAAGGTCCCGAAATAACGTGCTCAACTTTTTGGCTCAGCTCTGGTACTCTCTTCGGTCCAAAGCTAATTGATTCACCCCTCGAAACATAGGGAAAACCAATAACCCCTCTTTTTATCTGTCAAACTTTCATAGCGAATCAAAACAAACATTGCGTAGTACTAGAATTTCGACTAGAATAGGGTACGTTAATCGTTTGCTTGGGAGCAATAGGCTAGTCAAGTGGTGAGCCAATTTAAAATCGTTAGTTTCGTATTGATTGTTGATATCATAGGATACCGTCCACAATGTTATCAAATCAGAACAACCCAGATGAAGAAGGGGCTTCTGTTCTTCAAAATTGATCATCAGGGGTTTTGGATGTCCCCGGAAGTGGTAAAAAATAATGGGTATAGTCAGTTCTTTGGAAACCAGGAGGAGTTGAAAC